ATGAGGGGGGCGGGAGGGTGGGGAGAGCAGAGCTTTTGTGGCTCAGAGCAAAGGAAACTTGAAGGTACTGAGGAGGAGGGTGTTGGCGTCTTGCCTGCTTAGTTCAATCAGCCTTTTCTTTTGCCTGAAAAAGAGGGAGAACGGAGTTTTCATTTCTGACTTAAATCAGAGGGGAAGGACGTAGGATGGAGACGTGTGCTCCCCAGCATCTGCTCATTTTTGGCAAATCATCAAATCCTCCTTCTTGTTGCTTAAAGAAATAATTAAAACCTACTTGCAGAGGTCTTGGCTATTAGAGAGTAATAGAGACATCTACTGGCTGAGTTTTAATGGGGGAAATGCCATATTTAAAGAACCTGTGCTTGAAAGGACACCAGGATGAAGGGAAGGGGTGAAGGTATGCAAGTGAAGATGTAGAAGAGAGAGAACCTGTGCAAGGGGCAGGACTCGGTCTGTAAGAGAATAAGAAGGAGTGCGTCTGTGTTGAGTGAAAAGGGAAGTCATCCCTAGAGATTGGGAAGTCATTCCTGCAGACTAGGATATCCCAACAGAAGAAAGAAGAGCTTAAACGTATTCCAAGACTTCTCCCCAATTGCTGGGAATTCCCTTAACAGTGTCTAATTGTTTTATTTGAAGCTTTAAAAATGTCTTCTGACATTCTGAAAATACTAATTAGTACTAGAGATGTAGGGTTTTATGCGCCTCCATTTTCAATTTTTCAAATTCCCCAAGAAAGACAAATGAGAAATCTCAAATTCACTTCAAATCCCAACTAATAAAAATGCCACTTGTAGTATTCTAAAACATCACTGATTAGATTTACTTTATCATTTTATTTTATTCTCCCCATTGAGAAAATACCTATGCACTGAAATGTAAGCTCCAAAGAACAGAAGTCTGACTACTGTTGATCCCTATAGTATCTTTTTGTTGTTGTTGTTGTTGTTGTTGTTGTTGTTGTTGTTGTTAATCCTCACCAGAGGATATTTTTCCCATTGATTCATTTTTTTTAGACAAAGTGGAAGGGAGGGAGAGAGACAGAGAGCAATATCAAGCCTGCAACTGAGGTACTTGTTATTGACTGGAATTGAACCCGCAACTCTAACCACTGAGAAAAACCAGCTAGGGCAATCACTGTAATATCTTGGGCACCTAGAAAACACAGAAATACCTCACACATCTGAGCCACTCTCCAGGAGTGCCTGTCCTTCCCATGGTGCACATCTAGTAAGAAAATAAAAGGACACTATGAGAAGCTCTTGCACATTTAGCATTCCCTTCAGTGAGTCACCTTCAGTCTAAATTTCCAAACTGAGGTGCATTACTTGGGTCTAGAACAGCATTGCCCAATAGAAGTATAATGAGAGCCACAAATGTAATTCATATATAAAAGGCTAAGCGACTGTCCGACCGGTAGCTATGACATGCAATGTCCACCAGGGGGCAGACGCTTTGACTGGTAGCTATGATGTGCACTGACCACCAGAGGGCAGACACTCAACACAGGAGCTGTCGAGCGATAGCAACTTTGCAGAGTGCCCTCTCACACTCTGGGACCCCTTGGGGGATGTCAGACTGCCAGTTTCTGGCCCAATCCCCACAGGCCAGGCTGAGGAACCCCACCTGCCAGAGGGACCCCATTCACTCTGCAGACACCCTTCGAGCCCCTGCACCACCCCAGGTTCAGCTGGCAGGGGAGGGATTGCGGGAGGTTGGCTTTAGGGTGTGTCCAGCCCATCTCACCAGTCCCACCCCGCTGGCCACCTTCTAATTAATTTACTTTCAATGTGCACGAATCCATGCACTGGGCCTCTAGTGTGTATATCTACACTAATAAAAGATCAACATGCAAATTGGTGTCACTCCACTACACCCACCAGCCAATCAGGATGAATATGTAAATTAACTCAGTAAAGATGGTGGTTAATTTGCATATGCAGGCGTGCGGCCGGAGCCGAGAAGCCAAGTTTCTCTGCTGTGGCTGGACCAAAGGCCTGGGTCCTGGGTGCCGGAGGAAAACCGGTGTCGACAGCCAGGGGAAGGAAGGCCTATTGCACGAATCTTTGTGCAACGGACCTCTAGTATATATATAATCTTAAATGTTCCAGTGTTACCTTTAAAAAGTAAAAATAAAAAAGTGAAATTAATTTTAATATGTTACTTAGTCCAATGTACCCAAAATATTTTCAATAAGAAAGCAATGTAATGATTATTAATGAGATATTTTACATGTTTAATACTAAATTTTTAAAATCTAATGTGGCTTTTATACTGACAGCACATGGCACTTCACACATTTCAAGTGCTCAATAACCATCTGTGGCCAGAGGCTACCATAAAGGGCAAGCGGTAGAAGGTAGTACATTGTGGTCTAGAATGCTCCAGAAAGGATAGGTCCATTCAAGATAAGGCACAATGTCTCAATTTCTCTAGGAGGCCTGGTACATTGGAGTCAAGGTAACTGAGTCGGTAGACCATTGCATGTCTATTAGTGTGCATCAATAAAGGAAATAATCCAAGAGAGATTTAACACATATTCACACACTTCTAAACAGACTATGAAATTCCACACCAAGTCACAAAGACATATCACTCATTCAACAAATGTTGATTGACCCTCTACTATGCATCAGGCATTGTGCTTAGTATTGACCACAATAGACACTTCTACACAGTAGACATATGGACCTTATAATCAAGTGGGTAGAGAAACATAAGAAAAAAACAACAACATATAAATTTTAAAACTGCATATTGTGATAAGTATCACAAAGAAATAAATGCTATAAAGTGATAAAGAGTTCAGGGAGCCCTGACCGATTTGGCTCAGTGGATAGAGTGTCAGCCTGCGGACTGAAGGATCCCAGGTTCGATTCCAGTCAAGGGCATGTACCTTGGTTGCTGGCACATCCCCAGTAGGGGGTGTGCAGAAGGCAGCTGATCAATTTTTCTCTCTCATCGATGTTTCTAACTCTCTATCCCTCTCCCTTCCTCTCTGTAAAAAATCAATAAAATATATTTTTTTAAAAAAAGAGTTCAGGGTAGAGGGGTGGGTAAGGAAGCTTCTTATGTAAATAGATAAAAGAAACATTTTAATAATGAGGTAACAACTGAGCTGAGACTAAAGAATGAGAAGTGGTTAGACAGTAAGTAATAGTGAACAATTTAAGGGTAAAATAGGAGAGAAGCTTAACCTAGGTAGAGGAAGTAATATATAAGTATTAAGATTATAAATATTCCACTCTTAACAGAAAAGGGGACTGGAAAAGATAACTGCAATAAGCGGAAGTTCATATATAATATGAAAAGTGCAAACAATTGAGACCAAAATAAAATTATTTTATAAAATAATCAAGTGATTCTAGCATGATAGCACCCTGCTACCACCAAGTACCTGATTTGTAGATGCAGATAACTGTCTGTGTGACCTCAAAATTAAGAGCAAAGTTATCTAAATGCATATTAATACTGTGAAAGAGCTTGGCTAGCATAGAATAATATATACAAGATCTTAAGCCCAGTGTGTAGAGGCTCAGAGCTTTTTCTTCACAACCTGAAAAGTCAGTCTAGTTGCTTCAGAACAGTCAAATCTGCATTGATGAAAAAGCAATATGCAATGGAGTTATGAGTTATTAGTTGTTATTATATGGTTGATTTAGCACTATTTTAAAATGAAAGATGTGATGTTAGCATATCTTTAAGTAAGACAAATTAAAGGAGGTCAAAAACTGCTGAGACCAGATTTTAACAGGAATAGTTATTTTAAAAATTTAAGTGCTGAGCCTGGCCAGTGTCGCTCAGCTGGTTGAGCATTGTCCTATGCACCAGGAGGTTGCTGGTTTGATTCCTGGTCAGGGCACATGCCCGGAGTTGTGAACTTGATCCCCAGTATGGGGCATGCAGAAGCCAGCAGATTGATATTGCTCTCTCATCCATGTTTCTATCTCTCTCTCCTTCTCCCTTCCTCTCTCTGAAATAAATAAAAACATATTTGAAAAAAAGTTTTCAGTGCTGCTTTAAATTGTTTAAATAAACAAGGATTAGGACAGTAGGGTGTGGTGAAAGTACATGGGATTTGCAGTTGGGAGACTCAGCTCTATTCTTGTCTCTGCCATTATTTAGTCATGTGACATTTGACAATTTTCTCCAACTTCTCTAAGCCCTTTTGCTTCATTAGTAACATAAGCATGATGTATTAGAATTATCACAACTGGAACAATCACAGGTGAGTGATGGATAATGGTCCAGAAATATTTTTTAGGAACTCATTCTTTTATTTTCTTTTTAATTTAAATCATTTGTTATTTTCAATTGCAGTTGACATACAACATCATATTAGTTTCAGGTGTATATCCCAGTGATTAGGCATTATATAACTTATTAAATGATCATCCCAGTAAATCTAGTACTCATCTGACACCATACATAGTTATTAGAATATTATTGACTGTACTAGTGGCCCGGTGCATGAAATTGGGGGGGGGGGGGGGGGGGGGGTCTCTCAGCCCGGCCTGCACCCTCTCCAATCTGGGACCTGTGGGATTGGGCCTAAACCGGCAGTTGGACATCTCTCTCACAATCTGGGACCGCTGACTCCTAACCCGCTCCCCTCCTGCCTGCCTGATTGCCCCCAACTGCCCCTTGTCAGCCTGATTGCTCCCAACTGCCCCCCAATAGCCTGCTTGCCCCCAACTGCCCCCCCTGCTGGCCTGCTTGCCCCCAACTGGACCCCCTGCCAGCCTGCTCGCCCATAACTGGACCCCCTGCTGTCCTGCTTGCCCCCAATTGTCCCCCCCCCG